TATATGAGTTGTTTGGGTTTTTTCATCTAAAAAAAAGGGACATTAATTTCTTGACAACCTACTATAAGGGGACAGTATATTATCATTGTGTAGTTCTTGTCATTCTCCAATCACTTAAGAAACTAGATGATTATTTTCTACAATTGATATAATATGATTTTATCATATTTATTTGAGTATTTCATCCATAATTGGACCAATCATAGACTAGTAGTTAAGAGTGCTGGACTGTAGATTTGTATTCATTATCAAAAGGAAAAAAAATTTTTTCTACAATTTATGGCTGTGGGTTTCTTAAAAGAGTGACAGTCAATTCTCACTATTTGTTCACACAAGAGCTGCCTTCCCGTTAGTCTATCTGTTCAAAATTAATGAGAGCTAAGTACAGCTAACCCGTGAGTGACTTTGCATGAATAACTGAAAATAAACAAACCATCTGTAATATACCTTTATTTGTTTATGTTCTTTTATTCCAGTCGCAAGTAATTGAATTCAGGTGGGACAGCATTAAAGAATGGGAAGTAGATGAAGAAGGAATGGCTTTTGGATTTCAGTACTGTCGACCTGACAAGAAGCCACGTTGGATTAAGATATATACACCTTATGTAAGTTTTATTTATAAATAAACTTAGGTACTGCTATTATTTTAGCTTCAGTAATGAAATTCTTCTATTAATTACAAGAGTTCCTCATCATTTTGCAAAAACAAACAGTGTAATATAGATTGTAATATGAAACATACCTTGACCAGCTGAGGCCTGTCCTTTCTACCCAAGTAGGTCAGTGACAGCAAATGTTACCCAAAGAACTTTACATTTTACATATCTCTTAGTGTGGGAAGCAACTTATTGCAATTTTTATATACAAACTTTCATCTCTTTCCAGTTAGAATTAGCACATAGGTTCTCTTCATCATTTGATGGTATGCATTGCTTTCAAGATTATGTAGCAAGAAGTATATAGTAGAATCTATATACCTACTATTGATAAACCTCAGTTTCTGATATTCTTATCACTTACATGTGTGTCAAAGTTGCCATTCAGTTTTGTCATTCGTTTTTTAATTTATCAATGTCACTTTCAGTATCTGTTGTTTCATGTTATTTGTTTTTCATCTCTTTTCTACTTAACTTGGTTGTCTCATTTTGATGACATCTGACAGTTTCTGGTGCTTACTGCTTGATAACTAACTAGTTAATGTGGAAAAAGATGTTCATTTCACTTTAATTTCATGCTTTTGATTTATTGATACAGTGTGTGCTATTAACTCTCACTGAGACATTTTCTTTCTGGTTGTTTGAAGAAACTTGGAACTTTTTTATTGTTAATAGCCAAAATTCATGTTTTTTTTGTGATGGTGGAAAAATTTGTAAAAAGGAGTCGAGTTATTTTTGTTTTATCCATGATTTCTCTACTGTATGTGTAGTGTAGCTTACCTCACATAGGTTGCAGTCAAAAGGCTAACAGTTAAGTAAAATTAAACTTAACATTTTACAAAAAATTTGACAAAAGACCAAAGTCTTAACAGTAACAAAATCATGATTTTGGTTTATAGAAGTCAGATCAACAGACAAGATTTATTTTGTATGGTACCAAATGTGCATCAAACTGATGTGCTGTGTAACATTCAAACTTCACTGGAATGGTTCTATCTGTAATGATAAATTTGCTATGTTTTACAGTGTTGAAAGATTAGTTTTTCTTGTTATAGAGTAACATCACATTAGTTAAATGAAAATGGTGTTTTCTAGGGTAAAGTTACACTAAAATTGCTCTCTTTGGTGAATGAATTGTAGAAGAGTACTAATCTCTATTGATGAATTTACTCTAAATTGTTATTTTCAAAGTGAGCCATCACTAGATTGGTTTTCCTGTAGTGCTTCAATTTTGCAAGTTTATTATTGTCTATTGCTGAAGTTACTCTAAAAAAACTTGTTTTTCAAGGTGAGCTTTCACTCACTAGGTTATCTATAGTGCTTCAATTTTACAAGATTACTGTTGTCTAGTCTTGAAGCTACACTAAATTGTCTTTTCAAGCTGAGCTTGGTGTTTTCTAGTGGAGGTACACTAAGCTGGTGTTGTTTATAGCAGAAAGTAAATCTTTTTTTTTTTGTTCATTAGGCTAATTATGCTTAGTTTCTTCAGCATAGTGTTATCTGGATTGATTTAAAATGTTAAGTTAAAAAGTGCATTTATATATTTTTCTTGGTACATGATGTTTTTTTTTATTCTATTAGAAAAGCTAAGGTACAGCTAAATATTACTTCTAACTACAGTCTTGGTTATCTCTCACAAGATTGTCGAACTGAAGCAAAATAAATTAATTTTATTATGTTTTTTTGTATAGAAATATGCATGCCTCTCAAACTAGAAGTAACTCTGATTTCAAACTTGCTATAAACAATTGTAAATTTGGCCAGAATATTTATAATTAATTTATATGTATATATATATTTTATTTTTTTCTAGTATATTTTCATGTTTGAATGTTTTGAAAGAGTACAAGAAGAAAGAAGCTGGGAAGATGGTAAGTTAAATTTATATTTTTATAAGATGTAAAAAAATACAGAGGTTTGTAATAGCTTATTTATGAATCAATATTTAAATTTGGGATACAAAAAGAAATAGTGCTTTAGTAATATTATTTATTTTATTTCTTTTATTCTTCTTAGCTCTGAATGTACTAAGTGTATCTTCATAGAATATTGCATGCTTTTAGTAAACCCAATAAGTCTGTTGTACACAAAAAATCATGTTTTTTTTAATGAAGTATTTGAGTGAAAGGTGACTTTTATGCCAAGAATAAAAATATTTTTTTCATCTTACAGTTTTCATATAACCTTTAGAATCTCCTAAATGAATATCACATTTTTTCATTAAAACTTTATATTTCATCTCTTATTTTCTATACCTTAATGCTAACTGTAATAAAATCATCAATAAATATAAAATATACATGAAAACAAGACATTTAAGACATACATTAAACTTGAAGCCTATTTCAGTAATATGTACTTGAGACTGTACTATGTTGATTTTCTTCAAAATAATCAATCTTTTGAATTAACACCAAAAAATGTGTCAGGCACTAGAGTAGAATTTATAAAGCTAATATAATTTAATCAGCTTTCTAACTAAGCTCTAAATAAGTTAAAAAATTCTGTTAACTGTTTGGAATAGAAAAATACAAACCAGGGTTTGTACATAACTTTGAAAGTCCTTACATTTTGTGGTTGCCTTGAAATGTCCTTAAATTCAAATTTTGCATCAAAAAGCTATTGAATTGAAAAACAACCACTTGAAAAAAACCTTAAATCAAAGTATTCTATAAAATTTCTGTCATAACATGGCCTTTAGTTTTATCAAGCCAATTAGTCCCCAAGTGTTAGTTATCTTTATCGTCATCAGAGCAGCACTTTATTCAGCTCTCATATGGTTTTTGTAAAAACCTGATTTGTCTCAGTAATGATTTCCTGCCATTTTGCTAACGTGATTTTCCAGTGTGAGTGCATCAAGTGTAAAGTGAAACAATGATAAAAGTTATTGTATGTAAGCCTATTTTCAGGAATTGTCAATTTGAATATTCTATTCTCATCTTTCAACATGGGGAAATGCATATTAAATAGGAAGTGGCTAGATCAAGATGAATTCAAAAATTTGGTCAGAAAATACAAAGGATGTCGCTATAAGGCATGTTGTGTCACTTGTGGCAAAGTAAATGATCTGTATAAAATGGGTGAAAGAGCACTAAGATCGCATATGCAAAGTGAAAAACATTGTACAAATGTGAATGCTTTTGAGAAAAACTGTACATTGAGAGTCTTCATATAAAACGGAGTGGGACAAAACCTGGAAGTTCTAGTGCTTATGGCCCCAATATTGGCCTATCAGCATCAGACATGACATAATTTGTTTCTAAAAATGAAGTACTGCAGACTAAAGTGATTTGGTATTTTCATACTGTTGTTACTCATAGCTCTTATACTGCTAATATTGATATCAGTAAATTATTTCATACTACATCCCTGGACAGCAAAATAGCTGCAAAATTTCAAAGTGGTAATAGAAAGGCTGCATATCTTAATAAATATGGTTGATTGAACACTTATTGCAGTCTATGAAGAGACATTTTGTTGTCTTGTTTGATGAAACACTGTATAAGAAGAATCAACAGAAAGAAATGTACATTCACCTGTGATATTGGATTAACTCTTTCAGCATGGGCTCGGTCCCTGGAACTGTAACAATTTTGTGCTTGTTAGTGTTTTCATGATATAACTATTAAATTAGTAAGTGAATGTAACGAATTTGGCAGATTATCAAGTAAACATTACAAAGCTTTTGTATGCAAAATATCAAATTTTTTTATTAAGTCTTAAGGTTTATAAAGCAATGTTTTTCTCATGTCTATTTTTTCTTTTTGCTATCTATCATGCAAAGTAATATTAATTTTAAGATTAAAAATATTTTTGTGCATCAGAAAATTTTGAAATTTCCCATGCAAAATCTTTATAATGTTGAGATAGTTATCAAATGTTTTATCTGTTATTTTCAGTAATTAATCTCTGTACGGGTTCAGTAGATTTGACCGATCTCGCAACCATCATAAAAAATTAGGAAATAAATATAAATTATGCCTCTTTCATTCTAGAATGAACACATATTATAACATGAAAACATAAATGTTTAGACTAAATAGCTTAAATCTCATACCATTATACATTTATATTATTTTTATTATACTGACCTTTCAGCCATGCCTGACTAACATTACAGAAGTTACAATGATGCGGCTCCCATGCATCTCATGTTACGTATCAAATGACATAAAACTGACCTTTGGTCTGTGCAGAGTAACTTGTCTTGGCTGTGTTTTAGTAGACTAGTATTTTGTAAAATACAGTCACATTTCAATTACACATTATATATATGTATGTAGATTATTGCTATTTTGAAATAAGTTCTTAAACATATTTTTCCTAAAACATGAAACAGTAAATAAAGAGGTAAAGCAAACAATTATCTCTTCTAGTTACGACCTTTGTACCCGGTTGCTGCTTAACGTAGGTTGCTAAGCCTTTAAAAAGTTTGCACTTGGAGGATATGAAACAAAATATTTTTTTTAGGTTTTATATATACATTTGAATCACTAAAAAATCATAAATTACTACATCAATACCATAGAATTCAACTATAGTTTATAAAGCTTAGTAACTAAGCTGTATTTTAGTTTAAAAGAAACGAAATTTGAAGCAAACTAAAAATCACACCCGACCTCATTGAAATATTGGTTCTAAAGAAAAAAATGGCACTAAGTCCGTTAAAATGGCTGAGAAAGCCACTAGGGAGACATTCTGAGCTTCCGATTGGTTATTCATGTCATATATAGAAGGAAGCGTTTCCAAAAATGGAAAGAGGTGAGCAGGGCGCCACTGTGTTTGATTTATTCCATGAGCAATATCTCAGCAAATGGAAAAGATAAGAAGCTCTTATTTTATATTCTAGCTTGTCAATATCTGTAATTTGAGTTTCTAATACATTCGAAACTATAGACTTAGTATTTTGACTTCACAAACATCTAATTTGAACCAGTGCTCTATTCAACATACCACGTAACATTGATGTTTTTATTTTAATATTTGCTTTTAAATTAAAAAATTGAGTAACATATAGTACTAAAATTTGAATTATAACCTACAGTTTTATACCAAACTTATTGACATAAATTCATGAAATAGTAGTTCAATAAAACAAGATGACATAGCCTTTCACCCGTGATCTGTCTCGAAAGGGTTAATAGATGTGTTGTTACCTGCTGTTTTGTATCGACATTTTTAGGTAAGAGCACACTGCTAAAATTTGGCCTTTTTAAATGTGTAAGTTTTATTTACTTTTATATAATTCTATCTTTCATTAATTTTGAGTTTAGTGAATAAAAGTGCTGTAAAATAATTATTACAAAGCTATAAATAAAATAATGATTCAAGGCTGTATAGTTGATCTATAGGAATGTTGTAGAATATAATTTATTGGAATACTGTAACACATGTGCATTTTGGGGATATTTACCTATACTTTGATGTTTTATGACTTTATTAAAATCTTTTCAGGGTGATTTGAACATCAGGAATAAGGTTCAAATCAATATGAATGTCCCCAACATAAATTAGAAATTTATGACATTATGAGTAAAGCTTTGGTGAATGACTATGATACATCCCTCTAAACATTGGATTGTGTTTGTTTCATATTGTGCAAAACCTGTTGAGGCACGATCTGTTGCTATTACTTTGAAAATTTCACCTGTATTAAAAAGTTTGCATGATTTGTTTAAAAATTCTTCAGTAAGGAGGAAAGACTACTGCAGAAATACCTCTGAAGTTTGTTATCCACTGATGAATTGGGAGTAGATCTGTTTGAGATGATGTAGCAAATTACATCAGTGCAGTAAAAAATAAGTATCAGAACCAGGGCACAAGTTATTCAAAACCATTGGAGAAGAGGTCGGTAACCCCCTTTTCAAGGCCAAGCTTCACTTTTTTTCAAGCTGAAACCCTCCATTAGGAGCTTTCTTAACAGCCTACCTTACAGATGTGCCAATGGTCTGCTTCATTTCAGATGATCTGAGTGAAGTCATCCAAGCATTAATGAGAAGATTAATTAAGAATGACTTAATTTCTGCATCTTTTTGTATTGAAAAACTTGTGCAAATTGGTATTGAGAAAAAAATAAAACTATGTCTACTTCAAATAGACTGATATAAGCATTTAGCAGAAAGAACTCTTTAAAAAGGTGAACTGTAATGAAAAGCAAATCATTGAGTATCAGCTTGAATGTAGAGATTTTCTTGTTAATCTTGTAAAGAAGATCCTGGATAAATGTCCTCTGTCCTACTTGTTGGTTAGAAACCTCTTGTGCTTGAACCCAAGAAACATGGCTTGTGACCTATCAGCATGTAAAGACAAATTCAAAAAAGGTACTAGGAGTACTGGTAAGTGCAAGCATGCTGAAAGAAATTGATGAAGTAGTAGTTCAACAGTTTCCATGTACTTGGATAAGATTCCAGTTATTGGTTCTAAAAAGTTTGCTAAGCTTGACAAGAGCTCTGATAGGGTTGATGTGTTTCTTTGTGAGTACATGAAGGATATACTGCATACACCAAGTTTCTAGAATGTTGTCAAACTCCTGTTTGTCTTCTCACATGGATAGTAAGTGTTGAGAGAGGTTTCCATATAAATAAGGAAGTAGAAATTCAAAATCTGACTGAGAGATCGGTTGTGGCCCAACATAATCTGCGAGTATGTAAAATCAGTTAGAGAAATACTTAATGTTCCCATCACTAAGGAACTACATGTCTCAGCTGCAGGTGCCCAAAGCTGTTATGAACTTTATCTTGAGGAAAAAGGATGAAAAACAGAAGAAAAAAACATAATTTGGATGAAATAGTGGAAACTAAAGGTCAGGGAAAAACATATTAAAGTAGATATAGAATAGCTAAATAAGTTTGCTGACAGCCTGGCAGAGAAA